GTATCTCAGGAAAGGAAAACGAAGTCCATGGCTCAGACAGTCCTCTGGTTCTTAGTTAGTCCTCCATCTCGACTGGGAGACCTCCCTGGGTTCCCGGCAGCCTCGGCTGAGTCACCGGGATCTCTGCTAAAACCAGGTGGTGGTTCCCCTTCTAAAGCTGTGGGGGTCCCCACTCTGTCCAGGCCTCGTGGTTCTCTTTCTCCTAAAGCAGCACGGTTTTCCTCCTCAGGGCTGTGCATGGCTCTCCTTCCTAACGCACCACGGTTCTCCCTCCTAAAGCTGTGGGAGTCTCTACTCTGTCAAGGCCGCGTGGTTCTCTCTCCTAAAGCAGCACGGTTCTCCCTCAATGGCTGAGGTCCTCCCTATTCTGCTAAAGCTGCATGGTTCTCTCCTCTCAGGGCTGCGGGAAGGGGAGAGTCCCCACTCTGCCAAAGCCGCGTGGTTCTCTTTTCAATGGCCGCCAAGTCTGGATTTTAAATCCCCGTGGCCAATCTTCCTCTGCAGCCTCATTTCCGACTCCTCCCACACTCGGCTTCACATGCCGGAACTCGTATCCTTCCAGCTTTACTGGGCTGCCATCTTGAGTCTGGGCAGGTGTGGCCCCATGTCCTGGAGCCAATCTTCTCCGAGCTCCCACGCAGGCGCTGTAGCTTGGGGGGGATCTGCCCCAGTCACGTGTTGGTGGGGAAGTTACTTCCATTCCCCTGGCTCAGAGATGATCACAGCTATTTAACATATCTAAGCGACCAGCCAAAGACTATAGATATGTTAAATGACCACCCCAGAGAGTAGCTGCAAGGCTGTTGCTATGCAAAACAGATCTCAATGGCCCTGCTCCATTTGTCCCTTCCCCCAACCCACACCCTGGGTGGGGGGGGATGGAGACATCTTAAAATCTCCTGGACACCTTAAGTTCTGGACCCCATTTCAAATGCCTATTTGGGGTCCCCCCTCTTGGCTGCACCCTGTAACACCTGTACCCCCTCACCTTCTCCTCACCATCCTGTATTTTTAAGTTAGAGCTGTAAGAAAGGATATCATTTAGTACACAAAAGAAATTTAATGCAAAAATCTAAAGAAAGCAGGAGTAAATCATTCTCTTTTGAGAGCCCTTTTATATACAGAATATAGCTTACACTTTGGCTATAGCAGGTTTTAGAGTAGGTACTTTTCTGGAATGATTGAATGAAATTACTTATAAACAGCTGCCTATTCTTTCTCATCTCAAGGCTGCAATCTCACGACTGATCTTTTCTCTAGAAAGGTTCTCTTTTGCCAATATTGGTCACTTATCTCTAGAACTGTGCTATCTACTGTGGTAGCCACTACCCACATGACTATGTAATTGTAAATAAATTAAAATAAAACAAAATTAAGAATTCAGGTCCTTGACCTTCTCCAATTTCCAATGTGTAATAGCCACATGTACAGTAATTAGTGGCTACCATATTGGACAATGTAGTGGACAGTTATGCTCTGGAATATGGTCTAGTTTATGGCGTAGTCATACCACAGAAATTCTTGCTAACTTTCAAATCCTTGAATTACCTTGTAGAGTTGAATCAATAACACTGCCCACCCTGGCTGGCGTGGCTCAGTGTATTGAGCATGGGCTGCAAACCAGGCATCGCAGGTTCAATTCCCATTTGGGGCGCATGCCTGGGTTGCAGGCCATGACCCCCAGCAAATCTTAAAAAAAAATAGCACTGCCCTTAAAATCACTGAGGCTTGATTAAAGGCAAACTTAAGATGAATTTTGGTATATGATCTACCATATTACCTCAGTTGAAAGTACCACATTTTGCCATGTATAATGCATACGTTTTTGCCCAAATTGTTGAGGGAAAAATAAGGTTGGGCATTTTACATGGTTATTACTAATTCCATATCTATACAAATGTTTTTAATTTATTTATGCTTATGCATTAAAAGTGTAGCTCTAGAAAATGAAAATGATATCTGTATACAAAGTAATACCCTGGAATATGATAATTGGTTTTGTTTCTAGATATAAGTAAACAAAAATTTGAATTAAAAAATTAAAATGAGTCCCTGGCTGGTGTGGCTCAGTGGATTGAGTGCTGGCCTGTGAACCAAAGGGTCACCAGTTCAATTCCCAGTCAGGGCACATGCCTGGGTTGCATGCCAAGACTCCATTTGGGGGCATGCAAGAGGCAACCGATTGATGTTTCTCTCACACATCTGTGTTTGTCTCCCTCTATCCCTCCCTTTCCCTCTCTCTAAAAATAAATAAATAATTAATTAAAATGAAAGATTTTTTTCTTGAAAGTTTGGGACAAAAACGTGGGTGTGCATTATACAAGGGAGTGCATTGTACGTGGCAAAATATGGTAATGAGAAACTTGCAACCTATTTTTAATGCCATTATTTTACACTGAAAACTGTAAAGATCTTCCAACAAATGGAAAAAAGTAAATACTAGTAATGATCCAGATATTTAAATTCATGTTTTAAAACTTCATGTTTTTCCTACTAGAAGTTAGGGCAATGATGCGGTATGCATGACGCATTGGTTGAATTAATGGAAGCAGCACACTATTGTTTCATGGCCTCTCTATAATACACAGCCATTGCTTTTGATTTCTCAGTGGAGTTGACCAAAATAGTGTTGAATTTTTTTCTTCATAGTAGCCATTCAGACATTTGAAGACTGCCGTGGGTCAGCTTTTAAGTCTGCTTTCTTTTAGGCTAAACATCCTGTGGACAGTCAAGTGTCCTTGCTTTATTAGGCTTAACCAAAAGAGGTCCTACCAGTGCTGCATAAATCCCCATTTGTTTTTGCAGTGATGAAGCCCTAACTTGTATGATTTTGTTTTACAGTCCATTTGTTTTATAGTTAATTTTAACTTAGATTAAAATTAATAGAAACTGAGTTTACTTTTCAGTTTTTTATTATGCTCTGGAGAGTTATTTGAACTAGATACACTGGAATTGTTCCAAAACTAGGGTTAGGAATCACCATTCCAAAATAACTGTACTGAGGTGCCTAATAAGTCAGTTAAGGGAAAGGTGTCTATCTTGTTCAGAGAAAGACGTTTCCAGCAAGTGAGCCAAGAGTTCACCAGTAGCTATCACCATCTTGTGTTAGGGAAAGAGAGGGAAAGATCCAGAGAGAAAGTATGTGTGTGTCTGTGTAAAGGAAAGGGGGAGGGAAAGAGAGAAAGTACCTATGGTAGGCAAGTATAATCACTACTAGGATACTATACATTTATTTTCTTATGTCCATATGAAAGGTGGTTTGTGTGTTGGGTTCTGGTTACATCCTAGACCACTGTTTCTAACACTATTTCATGCTACCCAGTTCTGACTTTAGTTTACTCATCTCTAGTTAGGTATACTAGGCTTCTCTGGTTGAGGCCCACTTTAAAAGTTTACTGAACTATTATTAATTCTTATGATGATGACTCATAAAATAAATGCTTTCTTTTTCATGAAGCATCTTTCCTAATAGATTAATGGAATTCTTTTTTTATTAGCATTTGCTATATGCCAGGCACTGTTTTAGGACTTGAGATACACTGATCAACAAGACAGAGGAAACCTATGACTTAAAATATATCATTTCATTCTAGATGGGGCCTGAGAACTTAAGTATAATCAGTTGATCTTAACTTTTTCTATGTATTAACTTTGATAAGGGGCTCAAATGATAAATGGGACATTAATTTTTGAGATATAGTAATGAATAATCCCTATCATAAAAAACAAGTCTTCACATATCTTTTAGAAGTGCATTAACTGTTCGACTGCTAAACAATTTTAAAAAATCTTTGGTGTTGGTTAGGATTTTTGCAAAATGGACAATTTTGTGCATTTTTGGTATAGATGCAAATTGTTATCAGATTTTCTAGAAATATGGTAAAAAAATGTATCACATTTAAAAAGTACATACTTCTTTGTTCCATCTGTTATTTATTTCACAAGGTCTGTCCAGTAATGTCACTTTATTCATTTTCTAAGCCTGTCCATCATGCTATTTTCAGACCAATGTTAATGGAAAACAGTCTCTGAAAATATTGGGGAACATAGTAGCCAACAAATTTGTCTTTATACCTAAAATTTGTAAAAGCATTGGACATCACATTATTATTACCACCATGGTGTTTTATGTTCAGTATACTATTTAAAACCCTGTTTTGGGCGTTTAGTGAGGGTTTTTTTTTATAAGAAAGGTTTAAGTAAGAATACACTAGATCAGGACACTTGTATTATAATTTGAAATATCTCCACACATTTCATAATTAAGTAGACTATAATTATATTGAATAATTAGTTGAATGTTTCCAAATTTAGCCCTGATTTCTAGAAAGGAAACAGTTATAATTAAAGAATTACATATTATTTTTTATTTGTTTCTCAAATCAAAGATTCTCTGAAATTGTTTTGTCCACATCAATAAAGAAATGTTTCAGGTATAATATAGACAGAAAAATAGTTTTACTTTTTTTGTTCAGTAGTATTTTCACATGACCTTATGATAATACCACTTTCATCATTTTAGGTTGAAAGATTAATAACATAGAACATATGTTAAGATTTTAATTTTCTAAAAGTATAAGAATAGAAAGCTCCTTTTAAGGAAAAATCCATTAAAGTACAAAAACTAAACTTTTATAAAGGGCAGTTTTTCTAAAAATTGCAGAGTAATGCATTCAGTGTAAAATGTGACTTATATGAACATCTTTGAACCAATGGGATCAAACATCACTTTTCTAAGTTATGTTTATTCAATACACTGATATTAATTGAATTCTTCATTAGATTAATCTAAGTAGTATTACATATATATGTTCTCTTAACTAACAATGAAAATGAATAGGAATTGATTTTATTTATGTGATTGTTCTATTTACACAATCCCCAAATTAGGTCTAGTCTCTACAACTATTTAAAGGACACATTTTATAAGCTATTTATTATTCTATAATAATATTTCTTGTTTAACTTCAGTACTACAAATAATATTTGACCTATTTCAGATGCTGCAGGAGTTTCAAAGAACTCTAACGAGAGAACTAAAAAAAGGTATGTTGCCAAATATATTAAGTAAGTTTATATAACATTGATTTCTGAAACTGTGAGTGGTAAATTACATTTTTTTTCCATGTTTGGGTACCAGATCACATGTACTGCATTAAATATTTTCTTATACATAGTGAGTAAAATATGTGAAGGCATGAACATTCATAAGTATACACTTATTTGCATTTATTCATCATATTCCATAGCTTTTTTAAAATCCCAAAAGTCTATGAATCTCTTCATTTCTGGCTATCTCCTTCCTTTCCTCTACTCTGCCTATGGAACTGTCAACCTGTACACTGAAACTCTTGTCGGAAAAGTGGGCCTCATCCACTTCTCATGTTTTTGCTAGTGATATAAGGCCAAATAACCAGACTCACCTAGTAATACTTAGTCAAGCAATTATAGTTCATACGGCTGTCACTGAAGGGTGACATTTAAATCTCTAGTCATTGACTTTGGTTTACATTTACCCTCAGGAAAAACTCCAAACTCCATTGCATGGAGTAAAAACACCAAAATCTATTTAGTTCCTGCCAAATAGTTCAGACTTATCTCTAGATGCTACTTAGTACCCTGCTGTGCCCCTTTGCTCTGGCATCTAGCCAAACTAGACTACTAATTCCACAGATGTTCTCTCCCACCTTGGCCTGCTTCATTTGTCTATCTGGAATACTCTTTCCTCATCCTTTGGGTATCTACTTACATACAATCTCCACCAAAAGGCTGACAATATTGACGCAAAACTGGGATGCTCCTTCTTTGTGCTCCAATATTAACAGTGCCCTGTTAATATTTGTTGTGGTATATATTACTCTGAGTGGAAAGTGCCTGTTCATCTGTCTTAATAGTACATGATTGTTCAGGGGTGAACTGTGTCATCTTCACCTTGTAACTCCAGTGCTTATATAACAGTAGAGCATGGTTGTTGAATCAGTGAACAAAAAACAAGAAAACTAGAAGCTCTGATACTTACCCCCAATAGCAATTAATTCAGTGTGCAAACATGGACAAATTATACTTCATAGTAATCTTGTGTATGTGTGTTATAGTCATATATGGATGCTTTTATTCTTTTTAACACATAATACTTATTTGTATTTTAGATTAAGAATATAATTCTTTTTATTTTCAGATGCTGCTGAATTTGAATCTGAATACTATAGATCTCATATCAAGACCTACTTTTGAAGACATCACATGAATGTGCAAAGATTTTGGAGAGAAAAATAGTAATTTATTTACTAGACTGTTTACATGATGTCTTAATTGTTTTCCATTAAACTCATGATATATGAAGTCTTTATTAATGAAAAATATATGTATATGATGAAAATTTTGTAGTATTTTAAACTGTGTTTCTTGGCGTCTAAGTTTTAGGCAGATTTTGTAAATGTCCTAAAAATTTAGACAGACATCGTTTTGATAACTGCTGGTGTGGCTACCATCAATTTTTGGAGGTATTACAATTGCTTTAATGCCATTACACTGATCACATGTAATTTTAAGCACTGATTCATAGATCTTTCCTCGTGGGGAAAGAAAAGTTTGCCTAAGGGTTTTCTGTTGATTTTTATTTATTTATTTATTGAAACAGTCTTAAAATTAGAGAAAGTTCCAAGTTTTAGTACAAAGAACTCTTTTCCCCTGAAATACTTGAGAGTAATTGCTGACATTATGCCACTATCCCTGATTCCTAAATTTAGTGTTTATTTCCTACCAGTGAGTACATTCCACTTGTCTACCAATAAAAAAATTAACACTAATACATCGTATTATTTAATCCTCATATTCTTTTCAAATTTTTCCACTTGTTTGTAGTATTTGTTACAGAAAAAAGATCCTGTTCAGATCCATAGATTACAATTATTTGTGTCTATTTGTCTCCTTCCTTCTGGAAGAGTTCCTTTGCTTTTCTTTGACTTTCATGGCCTTGAATCTTCTTATGAGTAAGTTCCAGTAATGTAGAATGTCTTGCAGTTAGGATTTTTCTGATGCTTCCTTATGATAAAATTCAGATCATATGTTTTTTGGAAGAGCATCACAGAAGTTGATGCAGACACTGGCCCGCAGTGTCCACGTGGTTATGGATAAACTGAGACATTTACACGGACTACAGAGTTTGGTGGAGGAAAAGGGGCAGCATGGCTTTTCTCTTAAGGCGAGCAAAAGCCATGGCCTCTACAATGACAGGCTTTTATTTCTCTCTGGGCACATTACACAATGGTCCTCCTTTACTATGCACAGGTTCGATTTAGGTGGTTACCTTTTATAGAAAACAAAGGAGCCAATGCTGCTAATCACATCACAGAAGAGTATTTGCAAATGAAAAGGCAAAAGTGGTTGAACCCACACTCATCCTTGGAAGGTTTAGCACGGATTTTAGGAAGTTACTTTGCAGTAAATGTCCTCAATTCAGGGTGAGAGAGTTTTTAGCAAGAGCAAGACTCAAATTGGCCTAGGCACATTGCAGGCCTGATTCCCCATGGGAGAACCTATTCCTGGGCGTGGGTCCTGTGCATCTCCAAGTGGGAGCTGGGCCCATGCCACGCAGAATGGTCTCCTACAGAAGTGGTCTGTACTTTTCTCATTGCACCCTGTGATGTCACCTCCAACTTTGATTTGTGCCATTCTTGGTGAGGTTAATATTGATTCCTGAGGGTAATATCTACCAGTTTTGTCCTCTGTAATGTTACCTTGTTACTTTACAATCAATTACTGTTTTATAGGGAAATACTTTAGGACTCTGGAAATATCTCATCATTAAACTTTGGATTTATTTATCAATATGGATTTATGGTTTATTTTATTCCATGGGTTATAATTTCTTAAAGTTATTTTTAATATTTATTTTTCATTTAGAAGTATTCTGTATTGTCACTTTCAGACTTATGGAAATTTACAGGAATAGTAGAATTCCTGCATACCATTCCCCAAATGTTAACATTTTACTATATTTGCTGTATACTTCCTTCTTTCTTTTCAGATAACTATAAATGTAGGTCTGTAATATATATATAAATTTGTAAGAGGCAGACATGATGCCTCCTTACTCCTAAATACTTTAGCATGCATTTCCTAAGAAAAAGGAATTATAAAACTAGAGTATAATTATCAAAATCAAGATTAAAATGATTTATTAATATTTTATCTCAGATCTTACTCAGATATTCCCTGTTGTCTCAATAATAATGTTTATAGTCAAAGAAAATCTAAGATTATGTGTTCAGTTGTCTTGTTTCTTTTTTTTTTACTGTTCTCTTTTTTTTTTTAATTATTGTTCAAGTACAGTTATCTGCATTGTCCCTCAACCACTCCACCCCACCCCAGCCATCCCCACCTCCCTCCCCTGGCCCCACCATCCTTGGTCTTGTCCATATGTCCTTTGTAGTTCCTGAAACCCCTCTTACTTTTCCCCCCATTATCCCCTCCAACCTTTCCTCTGGTTACTGTCAGTTTGTTCTCAATTTCAATGTCTTTGGTTGTGAGGCAGGAGGTAGTCAGGAAGGAAGCTCCCGAGGCCCCGCAGGGCTGAGGTAGAAAACACCTATACATGACAAAGACCCCCTAAGACGGGTTGTTCCTGTTTTCTGGGACAACTCTGAATCATAGAATGCGCCTGCGCGCTACCCCTGATTCATTATAATATCATTATAATGAAATAACATTGTGGGACTCCCTTCTCCAGTAGCCAATCAAGAAAGTCATGGGAAACCACGCATGCGCAGTAGCTTTGAAATCCAACTCCTTGTACCTGCGCAGGAAAAAGCCCGCCAAAGACTAGCAGGGGGGCTTCTGCCTCTATAAGAATAGAATCCCCCAGCCCACATGCCCTTTTTTTTTCCCCTCTGCTCAGAGCTGGCTCACTCCCGTGTCCTGTGGTATGTACTATCACTTAATAAACCTCCCCTCTTTCTTTATGCTATAAACTTTGTGTGTTCGGTTCAATTCTTTGTTCTCGATCACTAAGAACCTGGTTACCTGTGCACACCTGTGCACACCTGTGACAGTTGTAGTTTGCTTGTTTGCTTATTTTGTTGATTAGTTTCCACTTATAGGTGAGATCATACTGTATTTGTCTTTCACTGCCTGGCTTATTTCACTTAGCATAATGCTCTGCAGTTCCATCCATGCTGTTGCCAAGGGTAGGAGCTCCTTCCTTCTTTCTGCTGCATAGAATTTGATTGTGTAAATGTACCATAGTTTTTCGATCCGTTCATTTACTGACGGGCACTTAAGTTGCTTCTAGCACTTGGCTAGTGTAAACTGTGCTGCTCTGAACATTGGGGTGCATAGGTTCTTTCTGATCAGTGTTCCAGGGTTTTTAGGGTATAATCCCAGCAGTGGAATTGCTGGGTCAAAAGGCAGTTCCATTTTTAATTTTTCTGAGGAAATTCCATACTGTTCCACAGTGGCTACAGCAGTCTGCCTTCCCACCAACAGTGCACTAGGGTTCCCTTTTCTTCACATCATCTCCAACACTTGTTGCTTATTGCTTTGTTTATGATGGCCATTCTGACTGGTGTGAAGTGGTATCTCATTGTGGTTTTAATTTGCATCTCTCTGATGCCTAGTGATGTTGAGCATCTTTTCATATGTCTCTGGGCCCTCTGTATGTCCTCCCTGGAGAGGTGTCTGTTCAGGTCTTTTCCCTATTTTTTAATTGGGTTTTTTGTCTTCCTGGAGTGGGTTCTTTGTATATTTTGGAGATCCAACCCTTATCTGAGGTATCATTGGCAAATATGTTTTCCCATATGGCTGGTTCTCTTTTCATTTTAATGCCGTTTTCTTTAGCCCTGCAGAAGCTTTTTAATTTGACAAGGTCCTGTTTGTTTATTCTTTCCTTTATGTCCCTTGCTCTAGGGGACATATTGATAAACATATTGCTGCATGGAATGTCTGAGATTTTCCTGCCTATGTTCTCCTCTAGGACTTTAATGGTGTCACGACTTATATTTAAATCTTTTATCCACCTTGAATTTATTTTTGTGTATGGTGTAAGTTGCTGCTCAAGTTTCATTTCTTTTACATGTAGCTGTCCAGTTCTCCCAACACCATTTGTTGAAAAGGCTATATTTTATGTCTTGAATGGAGCATTTAGTCCATTTACGTTTAAGGTTATTATCGATGGGTACTTATTCATTGCCATTTTACTTCCTTCATACCTGTGTTCCTCTCTTCCTCACTCTTTTTCTTCCTTTTTTTAAAGCAGTCCCTTTAGTATCTCTTACAGAGCTGGTTTGGTGAAGGTGTATTCTTTTAGACTTCTTTTGTCTGGGAAGCTCCTTATTTGGCCTTGTATCTTGATTGAGAGCCTTGCTGGGTAAAGTTGCCTTAGTTGCAAGCCTCTGGTTCTCATTACTTGGAATATTTCTTGCCATTCTCTTCTGACTTGTAGTGTTTCCATTAAGAAGTTAGTTGCTAACCTCATCGGGCCTCCCCTGTGTGTTACTTCCTGTTTCTACCTTGCTGCCTCTCTTTGTCTTGGAATTTTGCTCTTTTAATTATGATATGTCTTGGAGCGGGCCTCTTTGGGTTCCTCTTGATTGGGACTGTGATTTTCCTGGATTTGTTTGACTTTTTCTCTCATCAAATTAGGGAAGTTTTCCATCATTACTTTTTCAAACAGGTTTTCTATCCCTTGCTCTTCTTCTCCCCCTTCTGGTATCACTCTTATACGGATATTTTATGTTTCATGTTGTTCTGCAGTTCCCTTAACACCTCTTCATTTTTTCTTGAGTCTTTTTTCCTTTTTTTGCTCTTTCTGGGTGTTTTTTTCTACCTTGTCCTCGAGCTTGTTGATCGATCCTCTACTTATTCTAACCTGCTTTTGATTCCTTCTACTCTGTTCTTCAATTCAGAAATTGTATTCTTAATTTCCTCTTGTCTCTTGTTTATAGCTTCTGGTTTTTTCCATGTTCATATAGTTTGCAGTGAGTTCCTCATAGAGTCCCTGTAGTTTTTGGAAATTCTCTGTGAGCTCATTGAGCTTCCTTATAACCATTGCTTAGAACTCAGTATCTGGTAGTTGAGTTGACTCTATTTCATTTAGCATTCTTCCTGAGACTTCTTCCTTTCCTTTCATTTGGGATTTCTTTGTCTTCTTGTTGTTTGTGAGACTCTTCTTGTTAGCCTCTGCTTCTTAAATTGATGTGTTCTGACTCACCTGGTTTGTGGTGTGAACTTCTGTGATAGGAGACCTGTGAGATTCAGTGGTGCAGTCTGCTTGATCTTCTGAACTTGCTGCTCTTGGTTTGTCATTTGTTAGCTCTCTGGATGTATTTGGGTTTTGATTGTTT